GCAGAGCGCAGTGCTCAAGGGTAAAAACAGAGAATATTAACCAAATGTGTTTGTGGAAAGCTTTTGGAAACAGGTGCAGGCTGTCATGGAAGTATATTCTCCTCTCCAACTCAAAATGAAAAGGCAGCAGAAGGTGAAGCAAGGCAGAATCCCCAAATCTGGCTGCCGCTCAGTAAGTTGTGGAAGGCTTATTTTTAAGTGCATCTGAGCAAATCTCCAGACATTGGGTCATTCACAAAAGTCCAAATGTCCCTTTGTGGATCCCCCAGACCTGCTTCATATGTTGGTGAGGTCCAACAGGGAATTAAAGGGTCTTAAGCCATTGTAACCTGATACTAAAACTTTATTGCTGTGAAGTTTCACTTTTTTAAAGGGATTGCTGCGTTTGGTCTTGATATGATTTAGATGTGAACAGTAATTTAAGTGATCTGTGGTAATGTTATGTGCTTCGCTCTGCCTGTGTAATTTAGATAATGCAGAGTTGAAGGGAAAACATTGATGCTGACAGAAAGGAGTTCCGAGATTTATTTTCTTGATAATATACAAAGCATTGTTATATAAAGAAAATCACAATCAGGAAAAATGTACATATTGTTTCGTTTAACGGTGTCCAAATTGAATGTACTTCAAGATTTTTAGTAGTCTGGAAAATGAAAATGGCCAACACTAAAGTGGTTTTAGTCACAAATGCAGAGATGCCAACAAAAAAAAAGAATTAAATCAAGCTGGAATATAAGGTTTAACTGTAGAACAAAATGAGAGCTATTCCAAATCCTTTTTAGTCAACCAATATCAAACAGTTAATCCTCCTTGATGATTTGTTTGACAAATATGAACACAATATTTCTTTATCAACACTGCAAATGATGAATCATTTGGATCGACTTACGCTGCTCTTACTATTGATGTATCAGGGAGTAGGGAGGTCAAAGACGCAAGTTACTTTAAGCTTTAATAAGATAAAGCAAAACAGAACAAGGTGAAACATGGTTTTGCTTTTAGTTAGTTAGTTAGTTAGTTAGTTCGTTAGTAATCAATTCACTTGCACAATGGCTCCCATTGGCTTGATAGTAGTTCACCTTTGACAAGGAGAGGCTTTTTCTTCTCCGTGGTAAATTTCTTAGAAAGTAACTTTTTGAGAATTGACCAGGGTCTTGTGTGACAGTTTTCCAACATCCGTGGATCCTCCCAGCATTTCCACTCACAGGAAACAAATGTTTGACAAAGACAGAGACAGGAGGAAAATTCAACTTCCTGTTTTTAGTGGATGACAAACCCTGGACTTTCAGTATATCGCGAGCATCGAATCGCTTACTTCCTCATTTAAAACTAGTCTTGTTAAGTATTCATTTTTTAAATATCTAATTGAAAAAGTTGGAAATAGCAGAGATGTAAATTAAGTTGGAGAAAAAGCCTGGGAATCTGTGTTCTTTTCCTATTTATTTAGGTCTTTTTGCATGTTTTATCACTAACCTAATTTAATTGATTTGATATGACAAGTCCATTTTCAGAAATAAGTGTGCTCAGTTACTCGCTATGTAATTAAAAATGACATTTCATTGTAATCCATAGATGTCAGCCAATTAAAGAGATAGAAAACGCAAAGAAACGTGAATAGGATTATTCTGTTGGCTAACACCATGAAAACGAGGTCATGGCCGTGAAAAGTCAATGCATCCTGTTGATGAAGTGTTTAACTTCTCTGTTTTGTTTCGTTCAGTTAACTTAAACAATGAGGAAACAGTGAATTCTGTAACTGTGCTGACAGCCAGAAGGTTAAACAACAGACAGTAGCTAATATACCTACCAAAGAACTTCATAGATCTATGGAGCCATTTTTCAGTGATCTTGATCTTTTCATTATAAAAAAAAAACGTAAAATTTTTTCTTTATTGTTTTTCATTGTGGTGGAAACAGAAATGATGGTTGAGATGAGTAACTTTACACTTTCAATAAAAGAGAGCAACTTTTTTGTCTTCAGGGGTCCATAAACTTGTTACTGAGGTGATACCCTCAATGATCCTACTGTTGTACCCTTGTAGTTTGTGCATAGACTCATCTTTCAGTGCCTCTAAAAGTACAAATGTGCTTCTTGGGGTCCAGTTTTTAGCCAGATTGGGTACATAAGTCAAGAAAGCACCTTAAGAAACATGAATGTACTCCTATTGCGATCTTGTTTTCAAACGTGTGCGATTTACCAGACGATGGAACAACCAGATGGTTAAACGAATATGTCAGAGCATCTCCTAAACAGAAGGTCCTGTGGATTACAGAGGGCCAACTCATGCAGTGACCACAGCATGTGAAGGACATGTGGTTGCTTTCATGGGAATAAGGAGGTTATCATAAACATTAAGTTGCCGGTCACTTTCAGGTCTTCAAATGTACTATAAAAAGAGTTCATTTAACCTGTTACTCCTAGTTGTGGCCATGGTCTCGTTCTAAGTACTGCTCAAATGTGACTTGTATTTTTCACACTACTTAGGAATTTCTTGAGCATTATTCATCCAACCTTCCTGTATGATAACATGTCCAATAATAAAAGGAAACCAAATGGAAGCTAATTGGCTCTATATTAAATTTTGATTCAATTAGTTCATATATACGTTATTTGATAGGTTAACATTTACTTATAACTTTGTCTTCTCATGTAATTTTTCTGCGGGATATTTTGTGAGCTTGTGGCTCTGCCCTTCATCTGTCAAGGTTCCAGGTTTTAGGGATTTGAGAGGAGACTTTCGTAGTTCAAATATACACGCTACATCATATTTCCTGCTACAAGCCTCACACTACATATATCTTAGGGGCTCTGGCTCAGACTTCACTAACTGACTTAAACAGCCCACACTCCATGGAGATCTATGGACTGTTTTTTTTCTTTTTTTTCAATTTCTTTTTCTGTGGAGGAAGCTGGACCATAAGCGTGCCTGTGCAGTGTAATTTAATAAAACCCGATATGACTGAGTATGCCAGGAAAGGCAAACTGCTCCCTGAGGGAATATTTAGGAGGAAGGCAGCTGTTTGGAGAGGGCAAGGAGAGCAGCTACATCATGCGTGCACCTAAACCCTACTTTCAGACATCGAGCTAGTGTTTCTACAGAGTGGATCAAGCCATTAGCACAGGAGACGTTCTTATAAGCAGCCCATCTGCAAAAAAAAAGAAAAAATGTACAAAAAGTTGTTCACACACTACATAATTAAGCAAAAAATGTCAGAAAAAAAAAGCTGTTTGGGTTTCTTGACTTCTTTTAGTATGCACAGGTGGGTGAAGCTTTGTAGGAAAAAAAATTATTTCTCATGTCTGCCAGGATATACAATGCTGATTCTGCGTGTCCTTTTAAGAAAATTCTGACTCATTATCTTTTTTTTGTTGAGGTAAAAAAAAAAAAAGATTACACATATGTTTTGATGGATTGGTTTCAATAAGATAAACATCCCTTTATAACTTGATAATAATGTTTCACAGGCCCTTGAGGCCCAGTAAAGCCTACAAAGTGCTTAAGGGTACGGCTCCCGTCTACTTGAACCCTCTTGCAAAGGCTTATGACACAACTCGGTCACTCCGGTCATCAACGGATGGTCGTTAGCAGTGCCTACACCACACTTAAGACAATCCAGACTGTTTTCATGTGTTGTTCCAAGAAGGTGGAATGACAGCGTCCCTTTCTGTCTTTAGGAAACTCTTGAAAGACCCACCTCTTCAAAGAGTATCTTTTATCCTGACTCTTACCCATACCTCTGTACCCCCCTCTCTCTTTGCAGTCCCCACTGATTCTGACTAGGGATTTTCCACTAGAGAACTTATTATCATATTGAAGATAACTGTAAAATTGTGTCTACTTTGTAAGTGGCTTTGGATGAAAGTGTCTGCTAAATGCATGAAGATAAACATAACATAAACATTAAAGTATATTATCTGACCTACAATGAGTCATTTTTGGATCACTGCATAAGCAGTTTTCAGGTAACTTAAAGGATCCAAACATGTCCTGTATGCTATTCTTTTTATAGCAACAGAGTGATGTCAAAAGTTTGAACTTATTATAATATCTATCAGCCTTCCTGCTTTTGCTTGTTTGTTTTTTCAATATTCATAGAAAAAAGCTAACAAAAGCTAATGGGACCAGCATGTTCTGCAATCTGAGCACCTGTTTTGACTGAATATGGCACTTTTGGAGAAATAACTCCGCAAACACACGCAATAAACAAGAAGCAATGCTGGAAAAGAGAATATACAAATGTCAGTCTGAAAATAATAGTGATTGCTCATTTAAAAATAATAATTGAGAAATAAAATAATGCAGCCATACTCAATCAGCGACTCTTTATTCTTCAATAAAATGTTGTCCAGGTTCATTTGTGCAAAGTGCATCTAGACGATGCATCTGAACTGTTAAAAAATACATTTAGATTATGTTTTATGATCTTTGTGGCATATAAAACCTTTAACATCTCCGTCCACAAAACTGACTGTTCTTCTTCTGGTAAAATCTCAAAACCAGAAAAGATGTCATGCCTTTGTAATATCATTTGTTTATTTTACTTTTTCCATACCTGTTTCATGTCCTTTAGCTGTGTCTTTACACTCAGTGAAAAACACAAATTTGAAAGAAAAATCTGTTGACCTCAGATGTGGAGCGCAAAAGGCACTTGTTTTCCCCACTCATCATGCTGACTTATATCCTTTTTAGAGTGCATTGAATTCACATGAGCGGTCCAAGTTCATTTCAAACTGATTTTCACTCCAGCAGCAAAAGATCACAGTTTCGCTGTGTTATAGTCCAGTCAAAAACGACCTCTCTGAATTGAAAAGAAAAAACAATCTTAATACAATGAGGTAATCTCTTTACATTGAGATCAATAACATCCCCTATCAGGAAATAATTGCTTTATTGCTGAAATTGTTGGTGGTCAGAGTGTTTGAACAATTTATTATATTCAAACCCATTGTCGACGTTCTCACCTCCCTGGAAAGTCTAAAGCAGGAGACTTTAATTATTTTAAGCTGAGTTAGGAGAAACTTTTAGGGCTCCGGAGGGAAAAATGGACAGCTGAGAAAAGGGATAGTTGAGCATAAATCCGTGGAACGAGACGGGAACCGCGAAGTTTGGGGCCAGAGATGGCACCGTTACGCAGCGTCCGGGGTCCAGTAGCGACGGCGAGCTCCTGAATATGGAGGAGAGAGCGGGTATTATGCCGTTTACGGGTGGGATGCCGGGGCTGAAGTGGGACCCGGGGCCACTTTCCAAGCTCGGGTCGGGTCTGAGGAGGCTGGAGGAGGCTGCGGCGTGCGCTCCGAGTGGCCCCTGCGCGCGAAAACCCCTCAGCGCGCCCAGGCAGAGCCGCTGCCTCTTGAAGCGTTTCCTCCTCCGCAGGAAGCTGCCGTTCTCGAACATATCGGCCGACATGGGGTCCAGGGTCCAATAGTTCCCCTTGCCGGGGTTCCCGGGCTCCCGCGGCATTTTGACGAAGCAGTCGTTCAGGGACAGGTTGTGACGGATGGAGTTCTGCCACACGGGGAACCTCTCGCGGTAATACGCGAAGCGCCCGCTGATGAAGTCGCAGATCTCGCTGAGCGTGAGCCGCTTTTTAGGGCTCTGGAGGATGGCCATGGTGATGAGCGCGATGTAGGAGTACGGAGGCTTGGGAGCGGACCTCTTGCCCGGGTCCGCGCTGACCTCTCTGGACAAAGAACGGCCCCCGTCCCTCACGCGCGCGAGGCAGTCCGTCTCATCCATGGGTCCGCGGTCCAGGGTCATGGTCCCTACAGGCGAGATCGGCACCCGTCCGGCCTCCTCCACCCTTTTCACGCACTAAAAAAACAAAAAAAAAAGAAGCCTGTCGCGCATCAGACTTCATCTTTAACATCTAAGCCTCCCACTTCATTTCCCTCCTCCTCCTCCTCCTCTTCCTCCTCGTACTGACAGAACCTTCATCAAAGCAGCATCAAAACAGCAATCACAAAATAACAGAGAAATTAACTGATTCATTCTTCACAGACTCCTTTATGAAGTCATGCTTTTAATCTAAAGTATAAATCTGGGCTTTTCTTTCTGATTTAAATAGGGGTCATTACCTTTTCCCTCTGTTGTGCCTCAGTTTTTTACTGATTTGTTCCATTTAACTGATTAGTTGAAGTTTAATCAAATCTTTTTTAGTAAAGCCTCTCCAACCACGTCTATTTGTAAAACGTTAACTTTTAACTACTGTAGTCACTTTGAGATTGTTAAGACTATGCTGTTATCGGATGTGGGTGAAAAATGTGGAAAGTTTGCCTTAAAAATGTAGGGGAGTAAAAAAAAAGGAAAAAAGATTAAGTTGGACATGAATACAGCCAAAAAGGATTTAGTTTTTCCTGCACAGAGAGCCTGCTAATCAGTAATAGTTGCTGCGGGAATTGGAGCAGTAGAAATATAGCATTTTCATCCATTTTGTGTTCTTGGCTAAAGAAGCGCTGCTTTCTGTGGGACTGATCAATGCTGGATAGTTTGGCGGATGGTGAGAGAGGTGCCTCCGAAGAAGAAATGTAATCCAATTTTAAAATAATCGCCGCTCTTTGTCAGTGTGTGCGAGGCCACCCACTTGGCCTGGAGAGCACGGTGGGCTGAGGAAACTGTGGGAAGCCTCATCACGTAGAGTTTCAGCCCTCTGCAACTATTATTTCATCATATTTCAGAGATGGCTTTATGTGGGCTTCTGGCTTTATTCAGATACTTACACCCATAAAGGAAAGACAGGAAATGTTTGAAATGTTTCTTAATTAATTTTATACAGACAGAAAACCCATGCAAACTCACACAAAAACCTTAAAGACAAAAATCAGTGCCCCAATTTAAGGACCAGAAACACAAACATCACCAAAATGTAATAAATTCCACATATGCAATCACAAGACAAACGACAACTAAAAAAGTCAAATATGCACTTAGTTCCTGAACTGAGCAAAAGGCACGAGTCAAAGGCAGTAAATTGTTTTGCTGTTAATAAAAGTGAACCTGTACACGGGCGACACAGCTGGCCACCCTGCAGTAGAGACACTGAAGCCATTTAGGGGAAAAATGTCAACAATCTTGGCTAAACTTTCCACCCAATTAGTATCTGTGTTTGTGTGTGTGCGTGTGTGTGACAGCAGCCCTTCAGTTTCCTGTTTATTTGTCCGGAATAATTTTTCAGCTCTGCTACAAAAGCTGTCTCAGCCTCACATAAAGTCCCCCCTCAGTGAGATGGGGAGGAAACAACAAATGGTGTCTGTAATGATCATGGAGCACAAACAGGGAAACTTGAAGGGGAGCATTTTACATTTTCTTCTTTTACTTTTTTTTTTTTTTCCACACATTTTCTCATATCGAGCTGAACTGGAAAGAACTCTGATACATCTTCCATCCCAAATGGACATAAAACCCTCTATGTGTACACTTTCTAAGTGGTGTATTTCCGCTGAGCTGAGGTCAGCCTCACAAAGTTTCCACACTTGAGGCAGCACGAGTTGGAGTTGCTCTCCTTCCGAGGGATATGCCAGCAGCTGACACAGCGCACTCTGTACTTCTTATACCTTTAAAAGCATTCGACAAAGAAAGCACAGTTGCAATGAAATCAGGTGTGAAGAGGAATGCGATTTTGTTCAAGCCTCACAAACAATTGGTACTGCTTGAAAAATGAGTATTTCTGATGTCTTAATCGAGGATTTGCAGACAAAAGAATAGCTGCAAGGCTAATCCAACAAAGCATTATTCCTTTTCTTGGGGGCAAGCGTGTGTTTACTTCTGCAGGGCGAGATCCTGAAAGTGAAAACGCAAGCCAGCATGGAGTAATTCTCCTTATCCTCCTCAGATTAATTGTAGCTGGGGCGTAACAAAGACTTTAGTTAAGTGCCTTTGTGCAAGATGTTCATGAACCTTGAACGTGTAAAACGGGAAGCTAAAAGCTAAGTGAGTGCAAGGTTTGTGGATTTCACCTCTCCAGAAAGCATAACTACTTTAGAACACAAACACGTCTGTGCAGCTGCCTGCAATCTAAAACAAATTGTATTAAAACACATTTAAAAATGTTGTTGTTTTTTTAAATCACAGCATGTAGCGGGAATGTGTCACAAGGGTCACATTCAGGTCAACCTGAGCATGATGAAAAATCCCAAACCAACAAACAACCTAAAAAGATTCTAAGACAGTCTAGGTACCTGATCATGGATAACACACCCACAGCTAAGGAAATGGAAACTGACAGTGCTGGGTGATGTTTCAAGACCTGATAGTTTTTCTTTTTTCATCCATGTTGGACAAACACGTCTCACCGGAGAATGTATAGTTGGGATGCAGCTTTTATATCGCAGTGACACCGGGCATACACAATGTCGTACGAGAGTTGGACTTTTCCAGTCTTTCTCTCCATCGTTTCATTATAAAACCCAATCACACCTCAGCCTACTCTGATTTACAGCCTATCCTGAGCAGAGAGGGGAAGCAAATCCAATCTTTTCGGGGTTATAAATCCGCACGTCCGCAGCTTTACCAGCACAGTGTTTCCCCATTTTTCCCCCCTGAAATCTCTGGTAAATAGAGGCCAGTCTATTGTTTATCTATTTCTTATTGCTCCTCATTTTATCCTTTTTTTGTTCATTTACACATGTTTTAGTTTTATTTTTTGACTTATTGCTGGAGTGTGACCTGATGATGTCTAAGTATACAGTGAATGGCTTTTTGAATAGCTTTTTGTTTTTTTGTTGCTTGTTTTAAGTCTCCCACTCTTTAGTGCTGCCCTAAAGTTTTCTTTCATCCCAGCGTGTACGGCTGCCCATCAATCCTTAAAATCTTGCTAGAAATTAATCCAGACTAGCGTCAGTCAAACATGAGCCCTTATGCACAGGTTAATAAGAGTGTCCTTAAAACATTTAACATAAAAAATGTGATCAGGAACTACCTTATCCCACAAGCATTACAGAGAGGAGTCCCATCCTCTGCATCTCTCCACATGGGGGTTTTCCTGGTGCAGCATGAAGCGCAGACTTTCCCCTCTATAAAAAAAATATTTTAAAAAAGATAAAGTACACATTAGGTCTGCGCTACAGGAGCAATTAACTGAATTATCACTCAGTTATTGGTTGAAAAATACCATTTTAATAAAGGAAGTACTTGTACTACAGCAAAACTAAAGAAAAGGATGTCAATCTATAAATAACTAATAACTATGATGAATAATAATGATAAATTATATAGAAATATTACTAAAGTGAAAAATCGAAAGGAAAACAAACCATAAAAGCATATTTGAATATATGCTCATTTTCACTGTCCTCCGTTTTTACTATTGCAAATATTGTTATTTATGTTTCTCAGATGAACATGGAGTTTTGGTGTGCTGCTGCTCTCTCTTGGGGGAATTCAGTATTGCATGTCACTTGACGTTACAAAATCAGGCTCAGCAAGTGATGCTTTCAAGTTAAACAGATGTTACCTCTACGTTTTCCCCAGTGGGCATTCAATAACAAGTTTTTTTTTCTTTTTCTATTTCGGTATTTCAACTGTGCACAAAACAAAGTAACCTATTGTTTGTAATGCATTTTATTTACAGTGAGCATTTCCCAAAGTTGAGCCATTTGTACTTTTATTGTGACTGCTGAAAAATGTTGAATTTCAAAACTGGGACCACTGACCATTTTGTCTCATCAGTTTAGATATGAGGAAAGTTTCATTTGACAGAGCAGTTGATCGTGTGTTTCTTACTTACTAACATTAGTCGTCAGCTCATTCTCTTCATCTGAGCTGCTGGTTTTAAGCGATCTCTGCAACATCCGTGTCCTCGGCCTTGGTTTTCTTACACGCTTGCTGAGCTCCTTGCTGTGATAATGCACAGTAGATACTGAAGCGTGTTCCACCAAGACAATGTTAATAAATAACGCATGCAAATGAACACTTCATCTGCCTTTACCTGTACTTTGAAGTTATGAGGAGACGACACTGCTCCTTGGTGTCGTCCACCTCCGTGTCCATCCTGAACGTCACACCCTGGAAGTCTGGGTCTTGGACGTCAGCACTGCGGGAGGGGTGAGGTTGTTTTCGCGGAGTCTTGGTTTTCCACTTTCGAGCACAAAGTGGATCGCTTTCCTCCTTTGTCGCCACTGAAACATCTGGCCCTGATGCTCCGGAGGACCCGTCGCAGCTTGAGGATTTTAGCTGAGCCACTCGGGGGGGCGTTTGAGATGCAGTGAATGCGTTGTCATCTTTTGAGAGCGTCGCAGCGAGAGACGTCGACGGTGAGGAGAGCAGAACTGTGCTTAGAGGGGCCTGCTGGGTGTCTGTAAACAAACTAATGTTTGCGTTTTGGTCTAGTTTCAGTACTTTCTTTCCCTCGCCGTCAGAACTTACAGTTAGCTGGCTATTTGGACATGCGTTGTCTGTGTGCGTTTGGTACAGAGAATTTTCAAGGGGGGGCCAACTCATAGCATCTTTGTTAGAAGAAGAGCAGTCTTCCATACACTCCTGGCTCCATTTTGTTTTTTTGGCGCTGAACTTGACCTCCTCTCTGTGAACATTTTGGGGATGCAGGCATGTTTTTTCAAGCTCTTCCAGAAGCTTTGCTTGAACAGAGCGTAAGCTGTCACCAGCATGCGGACACACACCACAGCCACCGTCCGCACCGTTCACACAGCCCTGCAACCTTTCGCCGTCTCCAGCACAGCTCGCCCTCACACATCCAACAGGGCTGACGGAGGCGGTGGTTTCTTGTTCTCGTCTCTCGCAGAGACAAAGACACGGCCTTAAAG